TACAAAACCGCGTTTAAGACGCGATATGGGCATTTTGAGTGGGTAGTTATGCCTTTTGGCCTCACCAATGCCCCGGCCACGTTTCAGGCGGCCATGACCACCGAGTTTCGCGCTATGTTGGACCGCTTCGTTTTGGTCTACTTAGACGACATCCTCGTCTATAGCCGAACTCTAGAGGAGCATCTCGAGCACCTTCRCCGTRTTCTAGAAACTCTTCGGTCAGCCCGGTACAAAGCTAACCGCGACAAATGCGAGTTTGTCCGGCAAGAGCTTGAATACTTGGGTCATTTTGTCTCTCCGGAAGGCATTCGTCCGTTGGCGGACAAGATTCAAGTTATCCAGGAGTGGCCCGAGCCGAAGAATGTGACGGACGTCCGATCCTTCCTCGGCTTGGCCGGTTATTATCAGCGCTTCATCAAGGGTTACTCGAAGATCGCGGCCAACCTAAGCAAGTTACAAAGCGAGGAGCGGCCTTTTGACTTCGACGACAACGCGCGTCATTCTTTTGAGACACTCAAAGCGGCACTCTTGTCCGCCGAGGTGTTACATATTTACCTAGTCTTTTTGCGACTTGATCCACCCGGGAGGTCTTGTGCCTCCAGCTTGATTAAGTCCCGCATGAGGGTAAGCCAATCTGTATATGCACTGAGTCCGAGCCCTAGGCGATCTTTTATAGTAGAGGGGACCGTACCTTTTATCACATCCTGATAGGACTGCGCAGTCATCTCCAGATTTGGAGTAGCAAAGAGTTTACTAACATACTGTTGCAGGTTGTGCATGGTGCCGGTCCACTTGCTGTGCTTGAGCTTGTCAAGCTTGAGTCTAGCCTTGGCTGCAGCATGTGGATCAGCATACTGTTTGATTAAGAGCTCTTCGAGTGTGGCTACCGGCGTAGCCTTCAACCATTTGTTCAGGTCCCCTTTTATAGCCTGCTTGTACAACTTGGATTTCCAAGAATCCTCTCACGGCGGGTTTCACGTTGGTCCCTAGGACCGACTACTGAGTAATTGGGAGTGTCCCCAGCACATCAAAGTAGGATCGCATGGAGCTCATCCAAGATTCGATGTCGTCCTTTCCGTCATACTTAGACAGAATCTGGGCCGCCTTTCTATCCATATACGAAAAACTGCAGCTTGGACCAGCGGCTGCTGGGTCCGAACTCGGGACTGCAGCAGATCCAGAATGCCCTGCACTACTACTTGCTGCAGCAGCAGCAGCAGCAGCAGCGGGGTCTGGACCTGCTGCAGATCTGGATAGGCTGTTAGTCACACTCAAAGAAGATGAAGAAGTAGAAGAAGACATGATTAGAGGGGCAAGAACGGACTGACACGCAGCACTAGAAGCACGGTAAGCAGGCGAAAGGATACTTTGGGCTGGCTGCACATTAGCGAACTGTTGCAGCTGGTCATGGCGCTGCTGCGCCATCAGGGCCATATCGTCTCGCAACTTTTTGAGTTCGTCGAACACTTTGGCGAGTTGGCCAGTATGGTCCTCAACAGCCCGAATGTCTACCAAAGCCCGGAGGAGTGGAACAGTTTTCTCTCCCACCTCCTCATCGGTTAGGGCAGGGAAGGTACAGAAAATGGCTTACCTTCTCCTCCCTCTCCTTCTCTTTCTCTTCCTCCTCCCTCTTCAATGCTTTCTCGTAGAAGAATCGGTACTGCGCTTTCTCTGCCTCAGGGGCAGCGTCCATTTGCAGCTTCCAATCTGCTGCAGATGCCATGATGGAGGACGAGGGAGTCAATAAGTCTTTCAAGAGGGGTCCGTACTTCCTTACTTGTGTGGGACGAACACTCCTCTTCCCTCTCCTCACTCTCTCAAGAGCAACACTCAGAAGCTTCTCTCTTCTCTCTCTCTCTCTCGTTTGCGACCGTGTA